CCGAATGGTCCCCAATCCGCCACTCCCCTGTTACACCCTCGTCAACATGTCGTCACCCTCGAGAGACGACGAAGAAAAGCAATCGCCGCCAGTGGGACTCGAACAGCTGACCCAGACCCACGGCGCGCCGCCGGTCTGCAGCTCGAAGCCACTCGGCCACTCACATCCCTACAGAGAGAGGAAAGAAGCGCCGGAGCACACCCTGATGCCCGCCGGGTGACCACATAGTGACGAGATAGTGTCGACTTTTGCAGCGTGCGAGCGTCAGGTGTGTTCCAGCGCTTCTTCCCTCTCTTTGTAGAGATGTGAGTGGCCGAGTGGCTTCGAGCTGCAGACCGGCGGCGCGCCGTGGGTCTGGGTCAGCTCTTCGAGTCCCACTGGCGGCGATTGCTTTTCTTCGTCGTCTCTAGAGGGTGACGACATGTTGACGAGGGTGTAACAGGGGAGTGGCGGATTGGGGACCATTCGGCTACCGGAGGAGTGACGAGAGGTGTGACCAGGAGGTGACCAAGCGGCGACCGTACCTAGGTCACAATCTCGTCACCATCTCGTCACTCACTCGTTCGATCGCGGTCGCTAGAAACTCACCAGGACGTCTCGGCATCCTCACGTGAAAACGACGACGGTGCGATGGGCCCGCAATACGCAGCTCCACTCGGGAAAGACCAATCTAACATCTTACGTCGATAAAGAGACAATATCGTTCAAATAAGCATTCAGGGTCAATTTGAAAAAAAAAAAGGGGGGGTTTGCCATGGGACCCCACGCTCCGATAGTTAGAGGTGTAATGAATTGAAATTAATAGTCTCTGATCAATTAGTTAAAGTGTTTAAAACATTATTCACTTGAAAATCGACAGTTTACCGTCGAAAACAAACACAAGAGGGACTTACCTCAATCACGGCGAAGGCGATGGCGACCGCACCCAGTGCCTTCCCGATCATCTTCAAACCATCGGAGAACGTTTTCGAGCACCCATCGCTATAAGTGGTCTTCGTGTCGCACTTTCCGCTATCGCAGCATGAGTCCGGAATTTTGCCCTCCCAGAAGGAAGCGTCTTTTGTCCCACAACACTTGAACTGTAACACATTTACACACGTTAAAAAGGGGAGGGGTAGGGTGTCCTAGCGTTTTAGGGAAGACCAATCACTTTTTAATACTTTTGTTTTCCCAGTTCGGTGAGCGGGCCCAAGCCAAATGACTTTTTAGAGCAAACAATGTTAAAGATGTGTAAAGACCACTAAATTAACGTTATTGAAGAAGAGAAAGTTTCTGAATTCAACTTCATCACTGCCCAGAGGGCAGCATTTGTTTTCATTGCTCAATTAGAGAACATCGCTTAAATTTAGCTATTTAGCAACTTGCTGTTTGGGGTACGAAAGGTCATCAACTCCGGTTTTCCCCTGTCAGCGGGCAGATATAACACCGTTATTTTATCAATATAACATATATTACCATGAGATAACATCGACAGTACTCATATTATTGGCGCCTATACTGACAAATACTACAATACCCCAGTGAAAAACGCATATTCGAATCGACGTCGAATCGACGTCGAATTGACGTCGTTTGGTATGTCGACAGTCCGTTAAATCACTTCGTCGATTCAGCCTCTATATGGTTCCGAAATCGACGTACTGTCGACGTCAATTTTACATCGATGAAAGTAGTGCATTTCACGGTATTCCAACCTGTGAACTCTCCCGACAAGCTTCCTAACCTGCTCTCCTATCCACTACGCTACCACATCACCTGCTGTTGTGTTCTGAGTTTGGGTTGGGGTACTTACATTTGTCTGTATCCAGTTAACAGTTTCCATAGAGGCGGTGTTCTTATTTTCCTTTGCGTCCTTAAAAACGAGCTGTACAGCCTCCGGGATGCCACCGATGTTAACGAAAAGTACGATTGCGATGGCCACCTCACATATAATGATGGTTAGCAGTAGGACGGCGAACTGCAGCAATGAGGAGAGCGGTGCCGGTTTTATAATTAAATAGGGTCGTTGACAAGAGTTCCACTCACAGCAATGTAAATTTTATAGCGCTGAACGTACCGTAACAAGCATACAGTTGCTTTCCCGAACTGCCCCGCAGCAACCGCAGAAGGATATGACGAAGATAGCCCCGCCTACGACGCAGATAACGATGAAGGAGTTCTTGAGGTTAGCGATCTGATCTGAGTCTATGCTTCTCAAGGTGCCGAGCACGCCCAGAACAAGAAGCGCCAGCCCGCAGAGCTGCAAAATGAGAGTTAGAGACGGTGTTATACATACTCGCCATGAAAAAAATCAGAGGTTACTGAGAAATCACGAACGAAGCTTCCGTTCCTTCTTTCAAACCTTGTACGCGCAGGGTACACAACGCGACAAACTGCATCCTATTTTTTCTGTCCTCTCTACATCTAACTACACAGTTAAAACCTTACGAAGCAAAATGCCAAATCTTTCGTACCTACGAAGGATTTGCTCCCTACGAAGCTTCGAAATCCTTCGTGTTTCGAAGGATTTGGCCATTTTCTTCGTAAGACTTTAACAGTGTACTGATACAGAATAACCGAGTAAGATTTGTATTACAAAAATTAGTTTACGGTTGGGTTGTTGTCTGTATTCAAGTTCCGTTTCGGGTGGTAGAGTGGAAAATGCTGGTATGAAGCCTCCAAAAAACTATGTAAACTCGTCGGGACATACTTAGCGTGGGTTTTTGTTAGTCAAACCAACGTCTTAACATCAAAATGGCCAAACCACTTATGCTGTAACGGACAAGACAAAACTTGGCGCACTATTTGAGCGAAGATTTTGGAACATTGCCTCACATAAATGACGACTGATGCTCGAAAGGAGCGATGATCAAAGACCATCACTCGGATGGAACAAATGTTGCCCTAAGTTACTTGATACTTAAACGGAGCGACGGAAATGGACATTAACGTCTCTCACTATAAGGGCAAATATAAATTTCTGTCACTTGAGCGGATGAACTGCGTTAGCTTCAGAACGGGTGGCTGAAGTGCGTAGTCTACGGTGTGGATTTTTTTCGATACACTTGAAATAATAATGTACTGAGTATTACGTGTACTCACTACATATTTAAAGATCGCATAGTTTACTTACACAGAAAATGAAGTTAAAGAAGAAGAGGAGGTACTTTATAGTAGTGCTCCCGCATCTCAGACCGGCCGCCATGGTAGAGCTTGTGTGTTCCTCGCACGCTACGCTGAAACTGACTCGCTCGAGCTGCGCTCTCCACACCTCTATCTCCGCTATCACCAGATTAGGGCCGTACTTGTTATCTTTCGGCCCGCGCATCGCTGTTTACCGGTCAGGGAGAAATGTGAAAAAAACGCCGCGCCACCCTGGGTGTGTAGGACCGGCAAAAGTAAAACGAGCGTCTGAACCATTTAAATTTCACTATTTTACAATAAGAGTTTTGGTTATTTTATCATTTAAATGATGTATGCATGTGTATGCAGATACACCTTTCCAAAACTATCAGTATTTTACACCCATAGAATGTTAGCTGACATGTGTTCACTATTCTCTTTTTGCTGTCCTTTGGAGCAAACGACTTAAAACTCAAGTAACCCACTTCCGGCAAGGATTTTGCGAAAGACGTTTGTCTTCGTCACAGATAAGCCGCCAGACTGTATCCTTGCGTCCTGTCCTCTCGGCAAGGCTGCGTCATCCAGCGCTGTCGTGAGTCACATCCATCGAGTCAAAATGGGATTCAGCACACGAATTTTCCTTTTAAAAAATGTTGCAACTGTATGCATTTAGTGATCGAGAGAGATATTCTGCTACTTAATGGAATTGTCTGTTTCACATTCATAAAATCATACTTTGCAAATTTTTTGAATTTTGAAGCATTGTAAGGAAGTTTGCATTGCAAACTGTTTTCTTTTCATTGCCAAGAATTTCTTTTGCGTTGCAAACTATTTTAATTCTTAGTAAGTGACGAAGAAATGGTTTGCAACTTTACGCGAACTAATTCTTGGCAGCAGTACAAACAATTTTCTTCGTGAGGTACGAAGAACCAGTTTGCAATATGAAAGATTTAGTTCGCAATGCAAAGCATTTTACGACGTTGCAAAATTCTTACAATTAGCAATGCAAAGATTTGTGTTTCACAAGCTTCTTACAGTGTACACGTGATCGACGTGCTTATAGTAAGAACGCCACCTTTCGTATCATGAAGCTAACGTGCATATGTCTGAAGAATGTCTGTTCTGCCAGACCGTTGCTTGGAAAAATGTGAGGGAAGTCGAATACAGCCCTTAGCCAAAACAAGAAAGTTCAGTTCATAAAATACTGTTAACGGCCTGACCATGCACTGAAAATACGGCACGGACCGTAGGCGAACCATAACTGCCTACGGTTTTTACACTGTAATTCCGTCATATTGCGAACTAATTCTTCGCACCTTGCGAAGAAAATTGTTTGTTGTTAAGCTGCAAAGAATTTTTTAATAACATTGCAAACCATTTCTTCCTAACTTAGGAAAAAAATAGTTTCCGATTCAAAGAAAATAGTTTGCAATGCAAACTTCCTTATAATGCTTCAAGATTCCTTACAAAAAAAATTTCATTCTAGGGTGCAAACCGCATTGCTGTATCTCAAACTCAAGTTAAGATATACCAATTTGTTCAAGAGTCGAAATTTTGAAGTTGGGCACGATTGGAGCCGATGGGATTTTGTGGGAATTTCGGCGAGGCACTCCCTCCATGAACATGCCTAAAATAATCCCCAAAGTTTGGTGCTATCCGGAATATATATATACACAACATAGGGTTTCTTTCGTGGTTCCGTTGTTAGAATGCACTAGAGTTCAGCATTGAGCAAAGTTTGTGGCTAATTTTGACCGTATTTCTTATGTGTTCGAAAAATTACAGAACGTATCTGAAAGACTACTTTACAGAGTCTGTAACTTTACCAAAACCTGTAATAATACCAGAGTACGTGTGGATTTTTACAGACGCGTGTAAATTTACAGTAGTTTTTCGTGAAAAATGCCGAAAATCTGTAATTTTACTTGTACTGTAATTTTCCATAGTATTTCGGTAAAAGTAACGTGATCGGTAAAATTACATTTTTTTCTGTACAAGATTTCAGGAATCATCGGAAAAATCACTTTTTAACAGTGAGGAGATCCATCGTTGTTCAGCGACCATTTTCTGATCCGTCGTTGCTCAGCGACCGCTTTTTGATCCGCCTTTGTTGCACGGATGCGTCGATTTATTGGCCCGACCCACAGGTAGGCTAATCCTAGAGGCAGCGCCTCAGTTCGAGTGGTCCCTCCACGACCACTGGCCCCAATGCATTATGACCGAAAATATTGGTACCCTGCACGTATCATAAATCGACAAATTTTCCCGAGGACATAGTAACCGCTTGCGAGGGCTCTTTGCGACTGTGTGCGCCTCACGCAACACTGTTAAAAATAACTGTCACCTGACGACATACGGGGTTGACACTCCTGTAATATAACAGAAATGTTGTTTTCATTTGAACCCTCTCGAAAATTGTGAAATTCGGCCCATATTGGCCCACAACAAAAACTGCTGCTTATTACTTTGCTGTTCATTTACAAGAAAAGAGAAGTTAATTTTGTTTGCAACACATTTCGTTCCAAAACAGGACACTCGTATTGTTACATTATTTTTTTTTACAGGAGCAAAACAAAAGTAATTGCTTTCGGTAAGAAACTGTGTTTACGAGATTTTGATTAACGGTGCTTTTTTACAGTAATGCCTGTAAAAATACAGTATGTGTTGATAACAAAATTAATCTCACTTTCGTAGTAAATTTAAAAGGAATTTTTTTAACAGAGCAGCTTTAGCCCTTCACTATGTCAGGAGGACTTACCAGGCGTACAATCTTCGTATCTACCCTCTCTTTCGCTGCTGCGCGCCGCGTTACAGCTATACCGCTGTTTCTTCGTTCTTCTACCGGTGTTGATCGTACGCCAGTCCAGTAAATCTCACCGTAATCGTCACCCCCAATTGGCCCTGATAAGTAGCGAATTTCGTTAGAAAAAGGTGCTTTCCGGCGGGAGCGCCGTGTCACTAGGCTATTGCCATCTGCGGCACCGCCCTGTGCAGCGCACCGTGCGATTCGGTAGATAGAGCATGAAACCGAACTCGCCCCCTTCCCCATCCCCTTCACTTCTCCTCTCTCACTATCTCTCTCTTTCGTTCCATCAATTCATTTCAGGAGTCGGGGGAAAATAGGGGGGAGGTGGGCAGTGCAGCTTATAAATTCAATTATCGGAACGTCTTGAAGCCTGTGCGAACGAGAAATGGGGGAGAGAAGGGCGCGGTTGGGTGCCATGAAGATATCAGGGG